ATTTAAGGTAAGTAACGGGATTTGTGGGATTTGATTGAGGGTACTTATGTAATTTAGAAACGTTTGGGTTTTTATCAAAATGGCAAATTTAAGTTTGGGTCTACCCCTATTATTTGAATGTCTAAGGAGGTTATATCTAATAGACGCTATAAAAAAACATTGTGTCCTCATAGTCCACACCAACTTAAGCTCTTTTTAATCAAAATTGAAATTAAATGCTTTTCTTTCATTATCAAAAATTAAAAAGAAAAAAAAAAAAAAAAAAAAAGGGTTTCTATTTTATGTTTTTCCTTTTTCCATAAATACCCCTACAACATTACTAATCTTCAATTTAAGGGTTTCCCCATTGATTAGCAATTAACATCAAAGGATAATTGTCCTGTTTAAGAATTGTGATCAAAATTGGTTTGTCGGATGAATCGGTTTTTTGATATGAAATCGACCAACCCAACCCGATCCCAGCCCTGGTTAAAAAAAGATTAGTTTAATGAATAAATAAATAAAATTACTGGGGTCAAATCCAACCATTCTGTTCGGCGAATCTAACGCCTTGATACTATGATAAATAAATTAAGTTTAAAGCTAAACTCAGAAAAAGAAGGAGCCAACCAATTAATGTGAGATCAATTTTATTTAATTTTTCAAATATTTCATAATTAAAAATAATTAATAAAAAAATAAAACATTTTCAAACGGTTGTTCATCTTCTCAGAAGTTCTTTCAGTTTCATTCACCTTCTAGCATATTCACAAGAAGGAGCAAAGGACACGTGGCCCAATAAGAAGTTCACAAATCATCATCACAAGTATTTGCCACGTGTAAAGCCCATAATTGCCAGTTGTCATCTCATTTTCACACCAATGCTTCTGCTTTATTAGCCAGTTGTCACCTCATTTTTGGTTTATTTGCTTTTTGTTTGTATTTTCTCATAATGAATTTCTTTTTGAGTTTATCATTTTAGTAGGAAAAGGATAAAAAATCAAAAGACATATATATGATATGACAAAATTATATATATATATATATATATATATATATATATATATATATATATATATATATATATATATATATATATATATATATATATATATATATATATATTGAATTGAAAATCTACAATGTATAAAAGCAAAATGTTTAGTATAAAAAAGTATGATTTATTATCAGTAATATTCATCAATGTAAATATTTATTATTATTAGGTAAAATGAATACAAATTAAAATATATATCATGCGAATTTTAGCATAATGTTTTTTAACTCTAACTTAAATTTTAATTTTATTCCGAAATATAAATTTGTTTTCCTCAGAATATCGTACAAATCGAATCGCGAATCGCACACAAACCCAATTGTGAATTGTGCGAATTTTTAGAATTTACTATTTACTCAATGATTTGAATAGAAAAGGGTCCAATCAAATCGAACTGCACAATATGAATCATAAATCGTACGATTTTAATAGCTATAACTACATATATGTGATGTATTTGTTGTTCAAAATCATGATTCATTTAAGCAACAATAGCATCTAAAGGACTTTTTACACAGAAATAGTACTTTTTTCTTGTATTATGAATCATAGCCGATGGAATATAATCTACTAGTATATCATTTCTAAAGTAATTGAATAAATATTAAAATAAACTATATAATATCAAAATATCAAGATAGGAAAATAAAATTAAAAAAATAATAAAAAAAAAGGGGGCAATTGAATTTTGCATGGCCAAGCATGAATTAGTACGATGAGCCATGTATTAATTCAAAGAAGTGGGGCCAAGTCCGGCGGTGTAACGCCACGTGTACACCTATCCCCGCCTATATATCCATGCCTCTCGGTGCCCAACTCATAAATCTCACACACACACAGCACACACACACCGCCGAAGAATTCACAAGCACACTACACACTTGTCTCTCACTCCCAAAATCTTGGTGTTTGTTACATCTCTCTACTTTCTCTCTCTCTCCTCTCTCTCTCTCTCTCTCTAGAGACAAATCTTGTTCTGAGAGAAAACACACACACACACAGAAAAATGTTTATCGAGAGCTTTAAGGTAGAGAGCCCAAACGTGAAGTACACGGAGGACGATATTCAGTCAGTGTATAACTATGAAACCACAGAGCTTGTTCATGAAAGCAGAAATGGCACTTACCAGTGGATTGTCAAACCCAAGACCGTCAAATATGAGTTCAAAACTGACACCCATGTTCCTAAATTAGGGTATTTTTTTTATTTTATTTTTATTAATTTTCTTGATTTTGATTTTGTAATTATGAATTAATTTTAATGGGTTTGTTGTTGTTGTTGTTGTTGTGTAGGGTTATGCTTGTTGGATGGGGAGGTAACAATGGCTCCACCCTTACTGCTGGCGTCATCGCTAATCGCGAGTGAGTTCTTGATCCTACTTGTTTTTTTTACTCCAATTTCTATATAATTAGTGTTTTTTTGTTGTGTCATTTCAATTTTCCAATTAGGGTTTATGATGAATTTATTTTTATTTTTTTCAAGAATTACTAAGAAAAAAGACCCATTTTTTTATTATATTATATCTCTTTTCGTGTATGGATCGGTGGTGTAGCCAGCGTACGGCCAAAACGGTTTCCTATTATATATATATAAAGATTTGTTACATTTTGAATATATAAAGATTTGTTAATTTTCGAGATTGGCTGCAGTGGCGTAGCCAGCATACGGCCAAAAGGGTTTTCTAATTTCTACTATATATAAAGATTGGTTACTTTTTAAATGTATAGAGATTTGTTATTTTTTCGAGGTTGCCTGTGCTGGCGTACGGCTAAAAGGGGTTTTCTATAATTCTATTTATATATATATAGATTCGTTATTTTTCGAGATAGCCGAAAAAATAAGAAATTGTAATGGGAAAATTGCAGGGGAATTTCATGGGCAACAAAGGACAAAGTGCAGCAAGCAAATTACTTTGGATCACTAACTCAAGCTTCCTCCATTAGAGTTGGATCCTTCAATGGTGAAGAGATCTACGCTCCATTCAAAAGCTTGCTCCCAATGGTACATACATACATATATACATATACATACAATTATCATCCCATTTTTAAATTTGTTTTCTTGGTGGAATTTAATGTTGAATTTGGATATTGGAAACAATTTAGGTTAACCCGGACGATGTCGTTTTCGGGGGATGGGATATCAGTGACATGAACCTGGCCGATGCAATGGGCCGTGCCAAGGTATTGGACATCGATCTGCAGAAGCAGCTCCGACCGTACATGGAACACATGGTCCCGCTCCCCGGAATCTACGATGCCGATTTCATCGCTGCCAATCAGGGCTCACGCGCCAACAACGTCATCAAAGGCACCAAGAAGGAACAAGTCCAACAACTCATCAAAGACATTAGGTATATTTTCATTAATATATTCTTAATGTTTTATTCAGTTTTAGAAATTATCTTGATTTTCCCCTGATTTTTCTTGATTTTTTCTCGATTTTTATTGATTTTTATTGATTTTTGTAGTGATTTTGACAATTTTTGTGTGTGTTTAATATATTCTTAATTTTTATTCAATTTAAGTAATTTATCTTGATTTTTCCTGATTTTCCCTGTTTTTTCTTGATATATATATATATATTTTGGTAGTGATTTTGACAATTTTTTGTGTGTGTTTAATATATTCTTAATTTTTATTCAATTTAAGCAATTATCTTGATTTTTCCTGATTTCCCTGTTTTTTTCTTGATTTTTACTTGATTTTTGTAGTGATTTTGACAATTTTTATGTGTGTTTAATATATTCTTAATTTTTATTCAATTTAAGAAATTATCTTGATTTTCCTGATTTTTGTTGATTTTTACTTGATTTTATTGATATTTGTAGTGATTTTGACGATTTGTGTGTGTTTTCGATGATTATTAGGGAGTTTAAGGAGAAGAACAAGGTGGACAGGATAGTGGTACTGTGGACCGCCAACACAGAGAGATACAGCAACGTTGTTGTTGGTCTGAACGACACCATGGAGAATCTCATGGCGTCGGTGGATAAAAACGAGGCCGAGATTTCGCCTTCGACTCTGTTCGCAATTGCTTGTGTTCTCGAGAACATCCCTTTCATCAATGGCAGCCCTCAAAACACTTTTGTACCAGGTACAGCAGTTCATAAATATAAGTTAATTTTATCATAAAAAATAATTAATTAAAAAAATTAAATAAATGAGCTAATTAATTAATTAATTAATTAATTGTTTTTGTAGGGCTGATTGAAATGGCTATCCAGAGGAACTGTTTGATTGGTGGAGATGACTTCAAGAGTGGTCAAACCAAGATGAAATCTGTGCTTGTTGATTTCCTTGTTGGAGCTGGTATTAAGGTATATAATTAATTTTTATAAATACAAAAAAAAAAAAAAGAAGCTAAATTAATTTAATTTAATTGGTGGGCTAATTTTAATTTAATTTTTTTTGTTAGCCAACATCAATTGTGAGCTACAACCATTTAGGAAACAACGACGGGATGAATTTATCGGCCCCACAAACTTTCCGATCAAAGGAGATTTCGAAGAGCAACGTTGTGGACGACATGGTTGCTAGTAACGGCATCCTCTTCGAGCCTGGGGAGCACCCCGATCACGTTGTTGTTATCAAGGTATATATATATACATATATTTCGTTACGAAATTATTTTATTATTTTGATGAAAAGGTGCGATTAATTAGTATTAATTGTTATTATAATGATTGTGTAGTATGTGCCGTATGTGGGAGATAGCAAACGGGCGATGGACGAGTACACGTCGGAGATATTTATGGGAGGGAAGAGCACTATAGTGTTGCACAATACGTGCGAAGATTCTCTTCTCGCAGCTCCGATTATTCTCGATTTGGTCCTCCTCGCCGAGCTCAGCACTCGCATTCAGCTCAAAGCTGAAGGAGAGGTCTGTCTTTTTTTCCACAAATATAAATAAATAAATTAATAAAAATGAACTATGGTCCTAACTCTTAGCTTGAGATGTTTTGTCTTTGTTCTGACAATAATTGAGTTCCATATTTCTTGGATTCATTTATTTATTTTTTTTTTATTATTTTTTATTTTTATTTTGCAGGGTAAATTCCACACCTTCCATCCTGTGGCCACTATCCTTAGCTATTTAACCAAAGCCCCTTTGGTAAGATACATTTTTCATTTTTAATATATAATTTATTTATTATAAACTGATAAAAGGAATTTTTTTTTAATTTTTTTATTTAATGTGGTCCATGAGTAAAAGAAAGTTATGGTACACACGAGTCGTTATCGGTGATGGGTTATTATTTATGACGAAAATGGGGCTGCCAATGCCATACAGGGCATGGCATTACATAGTGTGTTGTGTGTGTGTGTGAAAAGGGTATTCTTGTGATTTCATTTATTTGAGGGTTGTCTGGTTTTGTTTGCCAATGAACAGGTGCCACCTGGCACGCCGGTGGTGAACGCGCTTTCGAAGCAGAGGGCGATGCTGGAGAATATAATGAGGGCTTGTGTTGGATTAGCACCAGAAAACAACATGATTTTGGAGTACAAGTGAAGGCAATATAAAATCTGACCTGTTTAATTTTCTTGCTCTTTTTTTTTAAAAAAAATTATTATTATTAAATGGAATTTCTAGTATTATGTGATATGGATAAGTGTTGGCGATGTAATATTTGTGGTCGGAATTTTCGTTTCGGTTTTTTTTTTCTTTTTTTTTTTCCCGCCGTTTTTAGTTTCTTGTAGCGACGACAAGTTTTATCGGAAATATATGGAAAAAAATATTGTTGGTTAACTTTTGTGAAGTTTATTTATGAAAATTTTGTATTAAGAAAACTAATAGAAGTGTATGGGTTATATGAATACAATATCAAAAGCAACTAAAATATTTTGTTCTTATTAATTATTTCATAGCTAATTATTTTTTTGATAAAAAAAAAAATTTAAAAAAATCATACAAAAAACGTAAATCACACTAGGTATATATAGTTGCGTAATTTAAATAAATCGATAAAAGAATCAACAATTACTTAAGTTAGACTAACAAAAGACTTGTGCCATATATAAAGTCCAATATAGGCCCATAATTTTTAATTATAAAGTTCGAATTCGGTAGCTAATATAACTAAATAAATACATAACCGAGGAAGCCCACACAATATTATTCATATCATGGGCTCAATTTATAATGTTTTTTTAATTGTGTCTCGAGCCCCTACATCTTTACATATATCACGAGTACCCCTTTTTTTTTTCTTTTTGGTAAATACCACCCCATCTAGCACGGAAACGGCGGGAAAACGAATATCGTGAAATGGAAGGTTCCAAAAATAGGATACAGGGATTTGGGGAAACGTGTAAATATTAAAAATATAAGGGTATATTTATAAATATTCTATATAAACATAAATAAGTTTTTATTTATATATAATTTCTTTTTATACATTTTTATATACAAACATATTCAAAATAAATTTAATTATCAACTATTAATTTGCAGTTAATCATTAAATTATGTAAATAATATGAGAAACATTAAAAATATTTAAAAGTTTGATATTTTAAACGTGTTTCTAACTATTTAGAAATTGCAAAATAACCCATAAGGTATTCGACAGGTGTCTTCGAATTTCCTACATGAAACGTTTCCAAAACACGAAAACGTCAAGAAGTTGAAATTTTCGTGTACACACATACCACCGAAAAACATCCTAATTTCAAAAAAAAAAAAAAATGAAATAGCAAAATAAATGTCACATTGCACATGCAAGGTATAGTAGGGTTTAGTAGGGGTCCCTGCCATATTGAGTTGGTGCAGTTCTCAGTCCCTAGCTGCCCATTAAATTGCACTTTTGTCCTTTTCAATATTTTGCAACAGTGCAAATTTCTGGACTCAATGAATTATTTTAATTAATTATTGCCCACAAATATTTACTACATCCATAAATTTCTCTAAAGTTGTAGCCTATTTTATACTATAAGTCAATGCAATTTAATTTTTTTTTTTAATACTACATAAGTTATTTGATTTATTGTGTTACCATTCTATCTTATTTAGTAGCTAACCTACCTAAAATTTAATGAAATTATGACCTTAAAATTTCATATTTTAACATATATATTATATTGTAGTTTTTTTATTTTCAATTTTTAATTAAACTATACATTTTGTTGGTTATTTTTCATGAATACCATTAAAAGGGAATTTGAGTTTCATTCTTGTAATTTAATTGGTGTAAATTACATACACCCCTGAAGTAAGTTCAAATTACGAAAAAAATCCCTCATGTTAGGGCAATTACAATCATCCTTTAATTACGAGTCTTCTTACACGTTCACCCTTATGATGTCAAATTCAACAGAACCTTTTAGACTCCGTGGAATGTTGTAACTTGTATTAATTTTGTGCAAAAATACAATTTCTGATGCACCACAATCTGATATTTACATGCCAAGAAATACATAATCTAGAAGATTCCATTAATTTACAGACTGAAGAATATTCTACATAATCTAGAAGATTCCATTAAATTTGACACCGCAATTGTGGACGTGTAATCAGGGGCGAGTTCACCCTTAGGCAAGGGTGGACTCAAGCCCACCCTCCATTTACAATTTCCCCCTTATACAATATTATATATTTATTTAGCCCACCCAAAACTTCAATTAATGCAAAAGAAGCCCCATTTTTTTTTATTAATTAGCACTCAAAATCCAAATTAATGCAAAAAAAACTCTAAAATTTGTATTTTTATTTTCCGTTTTTTGTTTCTTGTTTTCCTATTTTTTTAAAAACCCTAAAAAAACTTTGGGGGCGCTGCCCCCAAACCCCCGAAAATTTAAGTCCACCCTTACGAAATTCCGTGACTCGTCACTGGTTGTAATTATCCTAACATGTGGGGTATTTACGTAATTTAACTTATTATCTGGGGTGACAGTAATTTACCATAACAATAAAAAAAAAAAAAAAAAATTTGTGAAATGAGATATGAAGTCACGTGTTTATTAAAAGAAGTGGGGGCAAAGTAAGTAGTTGATAACTCATCATATCTGCATTCTGCAACACCACAACAAAAAAATTAATGTTAGGTTAAAGGCCTATCTATCTCTACATCAATTGTGACAGGGATTAATAGGTAGCTTAGGTTGTACTCTGAAAAGTTAACGAAGAGTTGACGCAGATAAATCCTCTGCATTAAATGTTTGTACTCTCTCATATGGCAGAATCAGATCCCATCACTTTTTCATCTACGTACCTACGTACTATAGATTCTGCATATATATATATATAATGTACGTACGTAGCTGCCCACCGTAGCTAAAAAGGCTGTGTCTTGTCTTAAATTTTATTTGTCATGCAAAATAGAGAGATTTTTTGGTTGTCGCTTTCTTCCCCGCATATATATATCAGCTTTTAATTTAAAAGTCAGACCACCCTATCTATATATCCTATGCAACACTGTAATAATATTTTCTGAGTTTTCAAGATTTTGAAGAAGAATTTATAATTATATAGTAATGGGGGAGGTTGGTTTTCAAGGGGGGAGGAGGGTTTGCAGAGATAAGATAATTGGCCAATCAGAGAGAGGTAAAAGTAATAATAATAATAATGTTGTAATTGTTCGGCCAAGAAATACGGCGGCGGCTCCGACGACAATGAGGGCGGCGGCGCCGGCGTTCAAGAAAGTTGAGATAGTGTACTATCTCTCTAGAAATGGCCACCTTGAGCATCCTCATTACATGGAAGTCACCTATCTTTCTCATCAACAACTTCGCCTCAAAGGTAATTCATGACATCTCTCTCTCTCTCTCTCTCTCTCTCTCTCTCTCTCTCTCTCATGCATGAACAATTTTACAAATTAATTTTGCTTCTATGTTTATAGATGTTATGGATCGCCTCACAGTACTCAGGGGTAAAGGGATGCCTTCACTCTACTCTTGGTCTTGCAAAAGGTACGCCACCTGCATGTATATATATACATACATATGTGTTTTGTGTGTGTGTGTGTTTTGTGTGTGTGTGTGTTTAATTAAATGTGTAGTGTTTAATTAATTAGGAGCTACAAGAATGGATATGTGTGGAATGATTTATCAGTAAACGATGTTATTCATCCATCACAAGGTACTGAATTTGTGCTCAAAGGATCTGAACTCATTCACGGTAATTAATTAATTAATTAATTAATTAATCTTAATATTTTGTTCTAATTAATTTAATTTCTTAGATCATTACTTCTTGATTCTAACTTTGTTTATGAAATTCCATGGAATTATAATATTATATTTCAGCAGACAAATTGCACCATGACCTTCAATTGGGCAATGTTGTTCAGCCGAAACGCAAGTCTTTACCTTCAAACCGACAACAACACGAGCCCGAAGAAATGTCGAAAAATAATCATAATAACAATAATCATTGTGATAATTATCATATCGAAGAAGAAGAGGAGGAAGAAGAATTTAAAGAACAAGTAGAACCACATAAAAATGGCGCCTCTGATTTGTTATTATCCTCGTTTTCTTCCCCTCCGTCGACCACTTCTTCCACGGTTTCCGACAAGGCGAATAATGACATCATAATTACCAATATTAATACTAATACTAATAATAATATTAGCGCTTCTAAGAGATATGAAGATGGTGATCAAGTAGGCAATGAGCCTGCACTGAGCATCAACTCGATGCTGCTCAGCCTCATTGCCTGTGGCGGCTCAGCTTCGTTCAGGAAGACTGTGCCGCCACCGGTTGTGAAGCCACCACTACCGCCTTGCACTATCGGGAGCGGTGGTGGCGGCAGAGTGGTGGTGAAGGTGGCGGTAGAGGAGGATGAGATTATGATGGGACGGATTTCCGAGAATCCGAGGCGGTTCGGGAAATTGCAAGCAGAAGAAAAAGAGTATTTTAGTGGGAGCATAGTGGAGGCAATGAGTATGGAAAGAATTGAGGTTCAGCCTGGATTATTGAAGAAATCATCTTCCCACAGTGAAGAAAGGTGAGTTCATTAATCATTAATTATTAATTATTTATTTAATCCTTGTTATTTTATTTATTTATTTATTATGGTATTGTTGATAATTATAAAAATATAATTAGTACATATTTTGAATTTTAATAAGTTATGGGGTGATCAGGAGCAATGTAATTGGTTTGAGAGAAGCAGCAGATGAAGTAGAAAGAGAGAAAGGGTTGAAAGGGAAATGCATTCCAAGGAAGAAGTCATCTGCTAAACATTAATTTTTTTTATTATTATTTTTATTTAATTTTATTTTGCTGTAATAATATTGTTGTAACTTTATTTTACCTAGTTATGAACAATTAATTTTGAATTTATTGTAATGATGTGCTTCCTCACTTGGCAGTAAAAAGTTGATGAAATGTGGTTGTGAAGTGATTCAACTGTGCACCATAGTTTGGTTGGGAGTTAATTAGAGAATTTTTTATTTTTTTTATTATTATTAATTTTTTAAGATTAATAATGGTGTTATTTATTAGCGTATATATTATATATTATGTATATATTATTATTATTATTATTATTATTATTATTATTTATTATAGTTACTTTGTGTAATAGATTACCTTGTGTAGTAGGTTAGGGTTTTCTACATGTAATTATATATATAATCAATATATGTGAGAGACATAATTATCTCTTTCTCCAACACTATTTCTCCTATATGGTATCAGACACTAGGTTAACCTAGTCGTCACAAGCACCATTCCCTTCTCAGCCGTCGCCTCTCTTATTCTCCATGGCCAGCGACGCATCTTCTCCCTCCACCGCCCCTTTCAATCCTTTCCACCTTGCTCATGCTATTTCCAATATCAAATCTCTCATCTCCGTCATCCTAGATGTGAAAAATCCTAACTATCAAAAGTGGAGCCATTTTTTCACAATTACCGTCGGTCGTTTCTGCCTCTCCGATCTTCTCCATGGAAAACCCCGACCCGATTCAATTTCCGCCGATGAATGGCAACGCGCCGACTACCTCCTCCAATCTTGGATCTACGGCACCATCTCCGATGATTTGTCCAGCATGGTTCTCTCCAAAACATCCACCGCCAGTGATCTCTGGACCGCCATCTCTTCTCTCTTCACCGATAATCAGATTATCAGGGCATTCAACTTGAAGAAAAATTCAAGTCCCTCAAGAAAGGCACTCTCTCCATTCATGATTATTGCCAAATAATCAAAACCACGGCGGACAGCTTGGCCAATGTCGGAAATCCAATCTCCGACAAACAACTCGTCCTACAAACCCTACACGGTCTTCCGAAAAATTACGAACCGTCGACAATCTCATCTCTTTTCAGAATCCCCTTCTCACTTTTCTACAGACTCGATCGCTTCTTCAGATGGAAGAAACAAGACTTGCTGAACCTGAGCAAACCCCAGCTGTATTCTACGCCTCCAACGCGAACTGTCTATCCAACAATTGCAACAGTTCCCGCGGACGTGGTTCTTCGCGTTATCAGCGCGGGGGTGGCCGATTCAACCGTCGCGGAGGTCGTGGCACTAACCGTCACCCCATGCTGCACTACGGCCACCATAGTGCTCATTGCGATCTCAACCCCGGCCGCACCTTACCGGCAACAGTCGTTCCCGTCAATTCTAGGACCCGCTCCAAATACATCGGGGCACCCATCCACTCCACCGGCTCAAGCCTACTTTACTGGACCACCAGAACCCTACAACAACCACTCGCCCCTACTCACGTTCATCCCCAACAGCAGCCATGGCACAACTCTAACAGTTCCAGCAACTGTTGCAATAATTCATGCAACAGTGTCAACGTGGTGGATCTAGCAAATAGTTTGAATACGGTGACACTTCAGCAGCCTTCAGAGTCACAGTGGTTCATGGACAGCGGGGCGACCTCTCATATAGCACCACACTACGGTAATTTCAATTTTGTTTTTAATCCTAGCAGTAATTTCCCCAAACATGTCGGTAATGGTTCCACCCTCCCCATCACTCACATAGGCCACACAATTCTTCCCACCACTCCTTTCCGCCTCACAAATGTCTGTTACGCCCAATATCATGAAACACCTTATCTTTGTTCGAAAGTTCACCTGCGATAACTCATGTTCGGTTGAATTTGACCCGTTTGGTTTTTTTGTGAAGGATTTTCGGAGTCGAGATTTTCAGGTGCAATAGCTCCGGTGACTTATATCCTTTTGGCGTTCCTTCTCCCACCTCACCTCCCGCTGCTTTCCTCACTGTCGCAACACCTTCGTCTTACACTCTTTGGCATCGGCGTCTAGGCCATCCCGACAAACACGTCGGCTGTGTTTGGTAAGCTTTTGGGCTTCCATTTCCATTTTATTTTGGGGAAAGATGTTTTGGGAGAAGAATTTGAAAATTAAATAAAGTTTGTTTGTGTTTTGGGAGGAGACAATTTGTACTGTAGCAAGTCAAATCATGTCTGAAAGGTGTTGGGAAAAGGTATTTTGGAAGAAGAATTTAAAAGATAAAGTGATTTGATTTTGTATTTTAGTGAAGACAATTTTCACTGTAGCGGTCAAATCATGTTTGTTAGAGAGAAAAATATTTGAATTTGTTTTGGGGAAAGTTTTTGAAAATAGTGTAGAAAAATAATTTTCATTTTGGGGAAAGTGTGAAAAGAATTTGAAAATGCTAACAAACATAACCGTCATGTCCCGTTTATTTTCTAGCACTTTTCTTTCTCATAATAAGGACCCTAGGGAGTCTCTTTGTAATGCCTGTCAATTAGGCAAACATTTTCGTCTACCATTTTTTTCTCAAAAATCTACTGTTGGTGCTCCTCCATTTCAAATTATTCATGCTGATTTATGGACTTCTCATGTCTGTAGTCTTACGGGTTTCAAATACTATCTTGTGTTAGTTGATGATTTTACCCATTATTTATGGACTTTTCCTCTTCAAAAAAAATCTGACGTTTTTACAACCTTTGTCAATTTTCATACACTTCTAAAAACTCAATTCCAACACCCCCTCATAACCTTACAAAGTGATAATGGTCGTGAGTTAAAAAATGCGGATTTTCAAAACTACTTGATTAAACACGGCATCCTAAATCGTTTATCGTGTCCCCACACCTCCCATCAAAACGGACACGCAGAACGAATGATCCGCACTATAACCAACATGATTCGATCCCTCATCTTTCAAGCTTATCTTCCTCCTACTTATTGGGTCGAAGCCCTTCATATGGCCACCTACCTACTCAATATCTTACCTACCAAAACCACATAAAACTAGACCCCTCGCGAAGCTTTTTACCTCATCAAACCTACATACTCTCATCTTCGAGTATTCGATGTCTCTGTTATCCCAACCTCACCGCCACCACACCACATAATCTCGCCCCCCGTTCTACTCCTTGTGTCTATCTCGGTCACCCTTCCTCTCGCAAAGGCTATCGTTGCCTTGATAGATCCACTGGCCGAATCATAATTTCTCGTCATGTTACCTTCGACAAAACTCACTTTCCTTTTGCTCAGTCAACTCCCCCCAAAAACACACTTCCTACCTCTGCCTTGGACGAAAACACACCCTCCCTATTCCCCCTCCCTCAGACTTCGTCTAACTGTTGCAACAGTTCATCCAACTGTTCCAACAGTGAACCACCCTGTTCCAACAGTTTCTTCAACAGTCCTATAACACAGTCAACACCTGTTCACCTACAACACCACCTCTCGACCACGACCAGCTCACAACCCCTTCTCATACTCACACATCTCCTTCTCCTACTCCCACATCTCCTTCCCATACTCCCACACCTCCCCAAACTCCCCCTGCGCAGCGGCAATTTTTTTCTAGTGTTGTTTTGAGAAACAATTTTTAAAATGGTGTTGTATTGTAGGTAGTAAACGAATTGGGTTTGAGCGCCACTCCCCACGCCGGCACCGGCGGAGGCGCCACCACCGACGGCGGCACCGACAGGAGGCGCCAGCTCCAACGACGTCTTCTATGTATTTTTTAAATATTTATATTTTAATATTTTAATTTTTGAACGGTCTAGATTGCCCAACCGAAAATTTGATCCGACAGTCTAGATCAAGCCAGCCAGCCTCGGAGACCAAGCCTTAACCAGAAGACGCCGCTGACAACGGCGCCTCGTGAAGACGCCACCGACACGGGCGTCTTCATTCTCTCTCCTCCAACACGCCTTCTTACCCCAGGTCAACTCCTCTCTCCTCTCTTCTCTCTGTTAAATTTAAAAAAAAAAAAAAAAAAAATTGATTTTAAAATTCAAAATAAAATATATAATTACCTCCGGCGACCTCCTCCGTTGGTGCCGCCGCCGACTGGTCTCTCCATTCTCGCCGCTGCCGCCTGCCCGCCGCTGCCTCCCCCGCCGCCGGTGCTCCTTGCTCCTTGCCGCCGGTGCTCTTCACCCAACCAAGGTAATTTTTTATTATTATTGTAAATACATGTGATTAGTGTTTTATAGTTTTTTATTATGTCCAATTTTTTATAATTAATTATTGTAAATACATGTGATTAGTGTTTTTTAGGAAGCATGTGGTTAGTTAGTTAGTTAGTTAGTAGTTTATTTATTTTATACTAGGTATTAGTACTATTTATATTTTATAGGCATGGGCAAAATTTTTTTTTTTGGGTGTTGTTTTGTAAAACAGTAACTAAAATGGTGTTGTAAAACATTAGGGGATGTGTGCTTAATTATATTATTATTTTTTAACTAATGTGCCTCATTATTAATTAATCTTGATTGATGAGTTAATTATCTCCTTAATCTTTTGAAGATCGATGGCGGCTAAAATTAATGCTAAAGTGTACGTGTACTTTGGAGGTTACATAATTCCTGATGATTGGGTAGTGCAATAAAGTATTGCCCACAAAACAGCATTCCGAATTAAACGTGACTTGTCATTTGCACATTTTCTATCAATGTTGTATCAACATCTACATGTCGATGTTAATCAGTTTGGGCTAAGAGTGTGTTGCAAATCTTACATTTATAATGGAGAAATAATGAAAGAGATGATTACCGAGATGACAACAGATGAATATTTACAAATGTATATCGATCCGGACAAAGGGAATGAGGCAATCGAAGTATTTGTTGAGATTGAACCAAAGTACATTGATAGTGCCCCACCACAAGTGAGCGTAGATGCATTTGATTTGAATGAACCATACTTCTCACAACCACAGGTGACTCCGGATTTTCTGGCGGCGACACAAGGCATCCCTAACTATTGTGAGACTAGTGGAGCGAGAGAGGTGCACAGAGATCCCTATACAATTAACTATGGTAATTTAGGGGGATTTGTTGATGGAGCATTTTGGAAGATGATGACCCTATAGGTGACTCATTTGGGCCGAACAATCCTGTGAATTCCGAACCATCCGATGACGGAGACGATGACAATGAAGATGAAGACGTACAAGATGATGTTCGGGAGACGTGGTTGCAGCACAACGAGGCAGAAGCAGAAGAACAACCGACGTTGTATGAGTCAATCCCATTTTTCTCGATGTCGTTTCCAGAAGTGGCGGCACATTCAGTTGATGTTGGAATGGGCCGATATGATAAATTTTACGATAGCGATCGAGATATTCTTGAGGTCGGGATGGTGTTTGAGGACAAAAAACGCCTTTGCGCCGCGGTGAGAGACCATTCGATTCGATTTGCTAAACGGGAATTCACAGTTGTCGAAAGTAAGAAGCTATGGAGTGTCAAGTGCAAGCATAGCACACCTAAAAGGCCTTGTAGATGGTCGTTGCGGGGAATTAAAAAATCGGGCAAAGGATTCTTCATTATTAAGAGATATGGTGGGCCCCACAATTGCATAATGGATGAAATGTCGAATGAACACAAGAATTTGGACAGGAACTACATTGCTTCCTTATTGGTTCAGTCCGTTCGAGATGACCCAGCTTGCAAAATAACACAAGCACATAATATTGTGAGGTTTTAACTAGGATTTTAACTTTCGAAGATGCAAGCTTAGTATGGTTTGAAGCATTGCAGAGATAACTTGTTCGGGAGTTGGGAGTGCTCAGTGAACAAATTGTCCAAGTTAGTAAGGTTA